ATATATATATATATACAATGTCATCTTGGCTTCAGGAGTAGAACCCAGTGATTCATCTCTTACATAGGACACCCAGTGCTCATCCCCAAAAGTGCCCTCCTTAATGCCCATCACCCATTTAGCCCATTCCCCCCACCCACCAACCTACAAACCCTCAGTTTGTCCTCTGTACTTAAGAGTCTCTTATGGTTTATATAAGTGATTTTATTTTAATAAAATTACAGAAAAGACAAATCAAAGCTTAGCCATGTCAGTAAGCATACCAGTATTTGCAAGGATTCCTGGTTGGCGGTAGGTTTAGCTGCCAGTGGGTATGGGGGTAACTGGGGTAATGGGATGTGCTGTATCTTGACGGTGGTCTTGCTTACATAAGTGTATATGTATGTCAAAACGAATGGAATTGTATACTTAAAATAGATGCATTTTATGGTATGTAAATTATACATTCATAAAGTTGATTCAAAATTTCTAAAATGAAACCAAAAAAATGTACCGCGTACAAAGGGCATCGACAGACTGAAGAAGGTGGGCATTGCATCTCTAGTCAAGTGGATACGGTCCCCACTGTTTCTTCCTCGACCGGTTCACGAGTGTGCCTGTCCCGTGTTTCAGGGTTTGACGAGTGTTACTTGAATTAGTGAATGAGTCTTGAAGAAAACAAAGTCCAGACAAAGGTATCTGAGATAGCGCCACCCTTGGGGGGGGTTTGTCTTCCGTATACATCCTGTGCCTTGGTCCCACCCCAATCCTGGGGACCGGCTCTCTTGTTCCGTTTTGTTAAGCATCCGCGACACGTCTGCCCCACCGCACACGTGGCCTGCTCACTCTTTCTCTCTTCGTGTTTGGAATAAGTTGGAAAGATTAGCATCATTGTATTTGGGGGGAAGAAAGCTTGGCAAGGAGCAACGCTGCATTTTTCCTTAAGAGGTTAGTGAAAAAATGAGGGCGCTAAAGGGATATGGGATTTGGGGGCCACTTAAGAAACATTTAAAGAAAAAGGGAAACACCAATCCTTCAAAACCTATAACCATGTCAGGAGTAAACATATGAGGAGAGACTGTCAATAGAACAGTGAGTCCAGCTTGGATATGGTTTGTTTGGGTTTGATTTTCACTGAGCACGTTTTAGCCACAGAAAACACATCTTCATCATGATCACCGTCCTAGAGGAGTTTGCATATTGGAAGGGGAAGAACGACCTAGGGAGACGCTGTGCAGGGAGAAATGAGATGCACACCGAACAGAGTTGAAGGGCTTCCCACCAATGGGTCAAGGAAGACTCTGGAGGATGTGAACCATAGTGGGCTTTGAAAGTTGAGGACTATGGAACGAATGGAGATTATAAGGGAGGCAGTCCATAGAGGGTTACACAACTAGACTGGTTTGTGTGAACTGATGATCATAAAGCAGAAACAGGAAAAACAAATTAAATGGAGGGTGGAAAGAAGGGTATCACTCTGATGTCCCAGGCTCCCGGGCCATTGGGGAAGGCGTGGCGAGGAAGCTCACGGGATGTCTTGATAGGAGCTGTGGAAGAGACATGGCAGACTCTGGGTGCGTTGGAGGGGTGAGGAGTCAGGAGACAGAAGCTAAGACGGGTAAAGCTGGAATGTGAGATCAGAAACTGGGAAGAGAGGAGGAAACCCAGAGAACTCACCAGCGCTTCTTAAACCACAATGCAACGACTATCAGAAGAATGAGGGGCACTGTCACAGCCAACAGGATCAAGTACATGGAAAGGTGGTGTCCTGTGGGTATTAGAGAGACACAACAGACGTCATTTTTGACCCACTGCCGGTTCGACTCTGTCCACTGATTCCCCATCTCAACAGGTGCATCGGATATGAGTGCCGTCTTCAAACAACCTTGTCACTCCGTTCTCACACCTGCCCAGAGGAGGGTGCCTCATCTCTTCCCCAAGCCTCTGACATCCGAGCCCCCCTTGTGCTCCATCCCTACTTTCCTGAAATCACTTGTATTCATTCTTTCCCAATACCGCACTCCCCTCGTTCTGGCGCCATGGAACTTTCCTCTGCCCAACCCTCTAGGCTCCAGAGCCACCTTCTCCCACCTACAGGCTCTACCTTACTCACCCCAGTAGAGGACCATGTCCCGGCCTCCTAGACTGCTGTGTCTCACCCGGCAAGCCAGGCCGGCCGCCTCCCCGGCCGCCACGTCCAGGGTCACCCGAAGATACCACGTCCCGTCGGCGTGGGGCAGGACGTCGCCTTGCCGGGTGCCCTGCTGCTCCTGCTCACCCCGCATCCACGTCACCCACACTGGCTTTGGGTAGAAGCCGGAGACATGGCACACCAGCAGCAGACGGCCAGGACCGGGACTGGGGCCACTGGACAGCCAGGCCACTGGCCTCACTGCAGAGGGCATGAAAGGTATTCCGATGGAGATTCTAACACACAGCTCAAGGGGGTAACCGCATCGGTATGTACATATTATCCCGCTCTAGGAATCTTGTACCCAGAAAACCCTAACCTCCTTGAACTCGTCCTTGTCTTAACTTTGAAAGGGATGGTGGGAAGGGGCATATACAGAAAAATCTTAGAGGCAGGGGCCGTACAAACCTTGCTTCTGGAGATCCACCTTCCCTGCATCGAAGAGACCCAAGGCAAATCGGGGACAGGTGTTTGTGGTGAGGCTGTGCACCGTTTCCCTGATGGCTTCATACTGGTTCATGAGGTCACAGGCGCTCTGGGCTCTGCTATCACTCTCTAGAGATGGCACCCAGGACATGTTTTGGAAGCTCAGGAAATCTGATCCTTGATAAGCTGCCCGTAAGAAGCCTTTTGCAATGTCGCTAGAATGTAGCTCACAGCCAGCTGCCACCTGTATTTCCATGGGATCTGGGAAGAAGGAGGAAGGAGAAAGACAGATTTGTGGCTGGGAAAATGAGACAAATGATATAAGGACTTGATTGGGAAGTGGAGCCGGAAGGTTTTGTAGAGGTGTGGGCGTAAGCCAAAGATGCGTTTGATCAGGAAGAAGGAAGAGAATTCGGGGGATGGGGAAGGGGCCATAGGGATACATGCCAAGAATTAAGAATTTGATTTGAAGAAGTCAGGGAAATGATAGTAAAGTGGAGGTCAGAGTCCACGTGAAGGGTCTCCTGCAAGTAGAGGGCATGTGACGTGGGTCGTGATGGTTGTTGGGCTGTAGCATAAACCTTGGAAGCACCTGAATGGAGGAAGAGATCACAGTTTAAGGGAGTCAGGCACAGAGGGGCACGACTGTGTGTCTCTGTGTTTTAGGCCGCAGAACGGAGACCACTGAGGAAAGCTAAAAATGAGCAAGAAAAAAGGAGTCAGAAGAAGAAAGAGTCTAGGAAGTCTTGAGGAGCCCAAATCTGGAAGGACCCCCGAGTTGATTCATGAAGATGTTTATCGTGGGACAGGAACAACAGGCAATGGTCCCGAAGGGTGTGCGCATGCCTCCCGGAAATCGGAGCACCTTCCGAGGGAACTTACATTTGAATTGCAATTGACCGGCATACTCTTGAGTCTCCCGAGTTAATCCGATGAAGTAGACGCGGAACAGAAGCTCCAGGTCGATCAGTTCCTCGTTGCTGAAGTTGCCCTTAGACCACGAGTGCAGGAAAATTATCGTGCCAGACTCGCTGTCCCAGCCGTGAGTCTGCATGTCACCCAGCCAGCCTGAGCCCTGATGCTGTGCCCAGGATTGGTTGGCAAAGGAGGAGATCTGGGCGACATGGAACGAGAGGGGTTCCTGGGCTGCTGTGGGTAGTAGAGCATCAGGTCGTTTAAGGGAAAAAAAGAAGCAAGCAGGAAAGAGAAGTTGGGAAGTAAAGCAGTTATGAAGGAGGAGAGGAGAGACAGAGAGGGCAGGGGGAGAGGGAGAGGAGGAGCGAGAGGAGGGGGTAGGAGGGAGAAAGAGGGAGAGAAGGAGAGGGAAAGAGGGAGAGAGGGGGAGAGAGGGGCAAGCCACGACGAGGTTAATGATGACATTTCCCTGACTCGGGGCCCCACGCTTGCCACCTTCCAAAGAGCGGACCTAACCCGGGCCGGGACCTCTCAGGGTGCGGATGCTCCAGCCACCTGAGAATCCCGATCGTCTTGGGAGAGGCCGCCGGGCTCTGCCGGGAGCTGGGGATCCGGCGGGCGGCAGAGGCTCTTACCTCGTGCACCATGACCTCCCAGGAGAAGGGCAGCCAGCAGGGTGACCTGTAGAGACACCATGTCACCTGGAGAGGTTTCCCCACTCCCCTCTGTTTTCAGCCAACCTGCCTGGCACTGTCTCTGCTCTGACTTCCTTCTTCCACCGACAAGCCGTCCTCCCCCCCAACTGCTGATTGAAATAAAAAAGCTCTGCTGCTCCCTCTCCAGCCTCCAGCCTCCAGCCTCCTACGCGGGCTTTCATTTCCCCTCCAGCTCCCACCAAGACTGTCCCCCTGCCTGGCTTCCAGCTCCACTCCTTGTCTCCACCCCCCACCATGCCCACTTCCCTCCTCGAGGATCCTGTAGGGAGTTGTGTGTGACACTGGAGCGTCACCGCGCCTCCCTGAGACTCACGTCTCATCGCTACAGCAAAACACAGAAACCGCACCATTTGGCTGCGTCCTGCTTGTTCTAACAGATCAGGGGTCCAGCTCTGCCTCTGTCCCATCCAGCCCCCCCTCTCTGGATGGTCCATCCCTCTCCTCCCCTTTCCAGAATCTTCAGAGTCTGCTCTTTCCCGCCTCACCCCGTATCCCCCCACCTTTCTCCTCCCCTGATTCTCGCAGGCACCTTTGTAAGTTGGAGGATTTGTGTTCTCAGGTCTGCGCCACCTCCCCAGGCACCTTGATAAGCCATCGCCGGCTCCCCCTTCCCCCGAGAGAGGAAAGTGCAGCCACCCCAGAGTGCACAGGACCATGAAAAGTGTAAAGAATTTGCCCGCCTATTGAATCTAACTCATACATCCATTCACCAAAAAGTCACTCAACACATGCTTGGTTCCAAGCATCTTAACGGAGTCGTGAACGGATAGAGCCTGACAATGCGTTCAGCCAATGCAGAAGTGTATTTTCAGCCAAGAATTGAATTCGGGGACACGTTTGTCAGCATTAATAACAAGGCTGGAAATCACACTCAGTGAGCTCTTTCTTTCTTTCTTTTTAAAGTTTATTTATTTGTTTTGAGAGAAACAGAGACAGCGTGAGTGGGGGGAGAGGCAGAGAGAGAGAGGAAGAGAGAGAGAATCCCAAGCAGGCTCCCCACTGTCAGCATAGAGCCTGACTTGGGGGCTCGAACCCGCGAGGCCATGAGATCATGACCTGAGCTGAAACCAAGAGCCGGACGCCTAACCGACTGAGCCACGCAAGAGCCCCTCGGTGAGCTCTTTCTATTATGGCCACAGATACCTGGCGATTTCCACGTGCCACAAACTTCCAAGAGCCACCATCCACAATTTCAGCCCCAGCCAGATCTCACTCACGTCCCAGATCCTGTCGTCGCCCAAATCTTCTTATTAATGGCAAACTCTGGTTTTAGGAGGCCACAGTCCACACAATGCTGTGTGGTTATTACATTTTTTTCCCATGGGCTCGTAGGAAAACTATAGCTCCCTGCTTCCTCGCCTTGGGGCTGGGGCCGCTGAGCTCTGGGCATGGAATGTGTTGTGCTTCAGACGTGGCCTCTGACCACCTTCCCTGCAGGATTCTGAGAACCGCTGCCTCCAGTAGGAGTTTCCGAGGCAGAGGCCACGGGCCATTGGCTGGCATCAGAAATCAACCGTGTTGTATTTGGTCTCTAAGATTCTCAAGTTCACTTATTTTCTTTTTAAGTTTATTTCTTTTTTTTTTTTTTAATATTTTTTTAACGTTTATTTATTTTTGAGACAGAGAGAGACAGAGCATGAACGGGGGAGGGTCAAAGAGAGAGGGAGACACAGAATCTGAAACAGGCTCCAGGCTCTGAGCTGTCAGCCCAGAGCCCGACGCGGGGCTCGAACCATGAGATCATGACCTGAGCCGAAGTCGGCTGCTTAACCGACTGAGCCACCCAGGCGCCCCTAAGTTTATTTATTTATTTTGAGAGGGAGAGAGAGACAGATGGCAGGCAGGGCAGAGAAAGAGGGAGAGAGACAGGATCCCAAGCAGGCTCCGCACTGTCAGCGCAGAGCTGGATACGGGGCTTGAACTCACGAGCTGTGAGAGCGTGACCTGAGCAGAAGCCCAGAGTCGGACGCTTAACCCGCTAAGCCACCCAGGCGCCCCTCTCACATTTACTTATCACTGGGACCCAACCTGGCCACAGCAGTTAGTATTATAGAACCTGTAACCCTGTAACTTGCCCCCCTCCCGAACTCAGAACAAAGTGAGGTAAAGACACAGAGCGTAAGATCTATCGATCAAATCGTCCACATCACTTCTGATGAAGCTTCTAGAGAACTTCCCTTATGCGTGTAATCCAAGTACTCTTGGTGGCCTTGACCTCCAAATGAAGTGGTCTTACTGTTATAAACTGAGTACTTGTGTCCCCTCCCCCACCAAATTCATACGTGGGAGACCTACCCTCCCCCTCACCCCCTGCAGGGTGGTTCTATTAGAAGATAGGGCCTCCAGGAAGGCAGTCATTGTTACACAGGTGCTAACAGGGGGGCCTTACAAGGAGAAATGCCAGGGAATGAGCTCGCTCTCTCTCCCTCTGTCCTCACGCACCAAGGAAAGGTGATGTGAGGACACATCAAGAAGGCAGCCGTCCGCAAACCAAGAAAGAGAGACTCCACCAGAAACCAAATCCTTGCTCTTCTAGCCCCAAGAACTGGGAGAAAGTGACGGTGTGGGGGTCAGGCCCGGGCAGCCGAGCTCGCCCAGTGCAGAGTGAGCACAGGCCGGAGGAGGAGAGCAGACAGAGCCTGTGGGCGTGGGACAGGTTCTACCCTCACTTTTTCTCCCGGAGTCACTCATGAGACAATCCACGTGATCGCCACGGGAAAGAGCACAGACCTGATGAAAGAAGGGAGAAGAACGTGGGAAAACTCGGCCTCAGGGGAACGAGAAGAGCAGGGACAGCCCAGCCCAGGACGTGGCCGTGCCGGGCCGGTCACCCCAACAGAAGCTGGAAACCTGCGTTCCTGGGACCCGTCCTCTCCTTGCTCCCTGTCACTTGTCTGTGTGACCTGCATGGTATGCCTCTTCCCGTGGGGGCCGGGGGCAGCCGTGACCCCCGCTGCCTCCTGCAGCCCACGCCCCCTCCACATTCCACATCTGCTGGGCACTCTGCCTCAGTGGCCACGTAAAATGTAGACCTGATTACGGCAGGCTCGTTCTTAAAATATTTCAGTTACTTCCATGAAAAGCCAGCTAAACTCATCCTAAATTGGTCAGTTTTATGCCCGGAGGCTCACGTGGCTGGCACCCCAACAGAAAGGCAGGTAGGGTGGGCAGGGGGCTCTGTGAGGAGGGGGCTGAAGCTATTTGCAGTAGTGAATGCTCAGGAGCACAGACCCCAGGGTCTGGAGTCTGTAGAAAAGGCATCGGGGAGAGGAAGTGGGTACAGGTGAGCCTGTAGACACACACGGCCCAGATGGGATAATCTGACAGGGGAGTGGCATCCTGGGATCAGAAGGTTGTGGTTGTGCTGCGGGCCCCCTGCTCTGCCTCTGGTGACAGCCTTCCCCAGGCGCCCTCTGCTCGCCCAGAAGTCCTGGTCCTCGGCCCTCCCAAATTCACCTCCATGGGTGATGTTTGCCCCTCAGAGAGCTCTCCTGGGTTCCCTGTGGTCACGGCCAAGTTCACAGGACCCGCCCCCTGCCCTGCCATCCCCTGCCTGGTAAGCCTCACCCTCTGCCCAGTTCTCTGTTGGAGAAACCCCACAGCCACATGCCCTTCTTGGCCTTTTCACTTCCTCATCAGCACGCCTGCGGGCTACCCACTTCCTCCGGGTCCCAGCAGCAGCCCTGCCCCCTTCCCCATCCTCCACCTGCCCCCCACCCACAGCACTGAGGGCAGGATAGTCCCCCAGGAGGACCCCCTGCAGAATGCTTCCCCCACAAATAACTTCTCTGATGGAGGGGAACTGACGTTGTCTAGCCCGCCTTCAACTGCAACAGTGTCTGACGTGGTCCACGTTCACATCCATTTCTACTTACAGAGTCTTTTCTTTCTCTGTTTCCCGGGTCTCATTTCTTACTTTTCTAGCTTGAGTCCACATTGTTTTCTACTCACCCTTCATGTGAGTTCCCAGGCCCTCCTCTCTTTTACCGCCCCTGCTGCCTTCCCTCCTCATCCATTCGTTCAAAGACCCACCACCCCTTGGCTAAAATCTGAGAGCTATGGCACTACCTTATCACGTTGACCCTTAGATTTCTGTGTGTAATTATATATGAACCACGGGCTTTTTTTTTTGTTTTTTGCAAGACAGAAGTAGATATTTTTTGCAAGGTGAAGGTTTGCATAATCCATTTTTACAGTCCCACACTCTCATGCAAAGCAAAGACTGACTGTACCACAAGATCTGGAGTCAAAATTTGAACAACGGCAATTTGTTGGCATTGACGACATCTTATTGATATCGTAACTTCATTTTTATTTTATTTTTATCTTTTTCAAATCGTTTACTTCATTGTTCTTTTTAAAAAAAAACCCTTAATCCTTTGAAACTTGCAAGGAATTAAGTACATTCAGTTGGGATTCGAATATCATTCTGCGTTTACTAAGTTTACTAAAATGTCGTGCCACATTAGGACTGAGGGCGTCAACGTAAAGGATATTTGGAAGCCCACGTTTGGCTTT